TATTCAGATTTTAACATCATAAAATGCGGATTTTTTTTCGTTCCAAACCGCTTAAATCCGAAATACATATATATAATAGAACAATGGTTCTCGCTTTAATTGTATTTAACGCTCGAACAAACGAAAAAAACGCAAAATAATATTTTAAACGATTTGTGAATGATACGCATAAACACGTTTATGGGGCACTTAAAATCAAGATTCGGGGGCTATAAAATGGAAAATCTCGGATTTTGTGACTTTTCCTGTTGTATGTGTCATAACAGGTACCTATGTTCAAAATGTGAGCTTTATACCTTGTCGGGAAGTACCCTAGATGTTTTTGAGACATACATACAGATTACGGCTTTATTTATATCGTTGGTTAGACTGTGTAAATGTGTCGTACACCCCACCTCCATCTGACACAGCCAATTATTACGATTGTCACGTGAACAAAGCTTGAGAATGTATTACGACTCGCGCGCTATACATTCTACATGATGATATGATGGTAAATTATTTTAAAATGTACAGGTAAGCCCCACTGAGCTGTGTAGCCCTTTTTCAGAAGTGACCTGCCTACAAATGATAGCTCAATGAAGTGGCTTATCGTGTGGAAATTTATAGCAGCCAAATGCTGTAAACGCATGTTTCTAAATGTGGAGGGAAAAACCAGAAAACCCAGAGAAAAATCCAACCGACCATGGTGAGAGAGACACGCAAGCTCCAAATATGCAGCAGGCGTCAGGGTGGGGATCGAACCCACGAACTCCTTGTATACCAGTCGAGGTAGTTAACATCTCCTAGCCACCACGGCATCCCAGACGAAGAGCGGGGCTCGGGAGTGTGCGTATCTGGGGTCCTTAAGACATCACCAATTGCCCAAGAAAGAGCCCAAGAATGAGAGATGGGTGAGCCACACACTGAGTAGACGCTGGTGTCGAGAGAGAGAGAGCAGACGGGCGAGCTGTGCATAACGGAAACGCGGCAAAGAGAGAGCGAAAGACTGAAAGGCTTTCTGCGAGGAAGCTTGAGAAGCTATGGATAACCTACTCTGAGCTGGAGTAACCAACCTTAGGGAATGGTAAGGTTGATTGCTTATTGGGAACTTGTCAAAATGTAGGGGCAAACGAAAACCGAGCTTACTACTCGGAGCTAATTTAACCAATCCTCTTAAATGACGCTTAATTAAATACATACCATGAAATAACACGAGCCATTAAGGTGAAATAAATTAATGATGAATAAAAAATCTAACACCAATAATCTTTACAATCAACTTATATCACTAATTGCTCATTGTGAGCACCCCCATACTGCTCATTGAATTAAACATTAACCAATTAACGCTTTACTCGAATCACAAAAACTTTAACACTCCAACTTTGTAATGAACAGCGATACTCCCGAAGATAATTCATAAAAGCCTATTGTCACCGATTAGAAAGAATAAAATTTGGCTCATCGAATCCGTCAATCACAGCCAATAAACTAGCGTATTGAACTGATTGACCTGCACTGCTGTCGTCATGACCGCAAGGCACCTACTCAAGACATTGTCAGCTAGGTTTATATTATTGTTTATGCCTCCCAATGTAAATGGATTCTCTAATTAGTCTTGGACAATGATAATAATAATCTTTGCAAAAAACATAGACGCTATCAAAATCAACTGAACATCCTTGTTGGCAAATATGATCCGCAACTGCATATTATTTTGATTAGTTTCAATGTCATCGTGTAATTGTTAATATCACTAGACATTGATTTACCGAGGGCATATATTAATGATTGTATTAAACACTCTTGACTGCACATCCTGCAGTGGTCTCCATGTACATGAACAAATTCGAACAGGTCCAATGTTTCGATTGCATAAGGCACCAGACTATATTTTGTAGGGAACTACCTATGGGTCTTTTGATTACAATTTCAATGTCAACGGTCGAAATTACCAGATTTATTTTTACACTCAACGCTGTTAATTCGTGAATTATCGCATAAATGTAATTAGTTGGCTTTGCAACGTTTAAACTCACTCCTAAAGACATGCATTATCTGATACCGTTGTTTGTGGCCTGATGTATGGCAGTCTCAATGACAGAGTATTCATTGTTGAGTATGATGGTGCGAGTGTGCATTCAGATCGGCATGAGCATACCTGTCAATCCATATGGTTTACAGGGAAATTGAGGTTTCAGGTCCATACGGTGTACAGCCATTTCAATAGGGCACATTTTATTTCTATTTGTGTTTCTCCCTTGTGATGAGACTTTGTAGGATGAACGTTGAGATTTATAAGGGGACGGGGTGACCAATAAGGTCTGAATTGGTCTGTAATAAGGTAGGCACTGATACGGGGTTCGACAAGTATGCATGAGTGTGTGCTTTCTTTCGAAAAACACTGCGTGTTAGTTTTCCATTTAATTGAACACTAACCTTAAATGGAACAATGCTATGAGATGCAAACATGTTTTCATGTTTTGCAGGAAATTGTAATTTTAATTGGGCTAAGTTACCTACACAGCCTACCATGATCATCAAAGTCGGGATTAGAGTACATATTATAAAGGTTATGCAAAGTTAAATGTGTTACGCCTTTATTATTGCCTATCACGTCTGCATAATTGTATCTGTTGCTTAGTTGATAAGCAATACAAAAGCAATAAGCATGAAATTTACAAAGTTTTTAATTAATTTTATTTTCTGGTAAAATTTTAGCCGATTGGATCAATTCAACATGTCCTCCACATGTCACAGTGGAATTTGGTTTCACATTGTGAACTGCAGGTACCCCTCGATTTCCGAAAGTGATGCGTTTCTCAAAAACTAAAGTATAAAAAACTTCGTAAATCAAAATGCCTTTTTCCATTCACACTAATAATCATGAAGGACATTAATATTAAAACGATTGAATAATAATTAATTGAAAACAAAAATAATTAACCTTTTCAGGGGACATACCAAAAGATCTACATGTTAGAATGACTGTAAAGGTGATGTGGAGGCAGTTACTGGTGCATTAGGATTGGAGTTAAAGTTGTTGGAGGCCTTGAGAGTGATGATTCTTGGGCTGAATCTTGGCGGGTGGTTCTTCACTTTGGCTGGGGTGCCTGGTGTATGAGGTTTAAGGAAAGCATTTAGAGATGTGCCGGATGGATTTCTTCCTCTTTATTTGGCACAGCTTCTCGTAACAGTGCAGGGCAGTCTCCATTATGCACGAGAAATTCATGTTGGCGTTTTTGAGGATGTCCATAGCTTGTTCGAGTAAGCTGAACACCTCTGACAGCTGTAGATGATTTCATTTTCGAATTCATTATGGGTGTGGACAGGCAAAAGTAGTTTAAATAACTTGCACTTTTGTTGAAAATTGATGACTGCATGTCACTCGACAGCCACCACCATCACCACACTGTGGGGATGCAGTGACGCTGTCGGGGATGGATGCCGCAGTCTCCTAGCGGCTTCTCGTTTGATATCATGGCGTGTGCCAGTGACATTTCGTTAATCAAAAAGCGTCCGCACGTTGTAAATTGCTTAAACGCAAAAATTAAGAAACCTAACGTTCATAAATTGAGAGATACCTGCATAGTGTATCCGAGGACATAAATATTAAAGGGATTGCAGTCATATATTTGATAAATCCTGTGAAATGCTAATGTAAGCTTTTATTGATAATTGTGTATGCTTTATTATATGTATTGTATTATAGTGCTTGCAACGCAATCAATGAAGGCTTCATTCATTGGTATTTTTTATTCTTATATATACCTCTGATTCTTTGCATATCAGTTTGCCTCTTTTGTATACAGTCTTGCCATGTAGCATACATACACATGGCTCATAGCTCCCACACCTTGTACCATGCACACAAATGTAGTGACACAGTGCTGACTGTTGTACAGCAGCTGCAACTGAATGTAGTGACACAGTGCTGACTGTTGTACAGCAGCTGCAACTGCAGGTGAACACTTAGCGCACACGCTGTTGAGCATATACACGGGTGTGCCAGCAGGGTGGAGGAACTAGGGCAAGGGTCATGGTAGACATCATGGGGATGCCTCTGGAACCCTCTGGTGGGTTCGAGAAGGGAGGGGAATATAAGAAGTGAAGAGCGAGAGGTCTGGGATACCGGTTCTGGGATTTGACTCGTCTTGTCGTCGTTGTCGTCGTCGGCGCCTTCGTCGCTACCACCTTCGCCTGATCATTGCGTGGCCGGAGAGTAGTTGGCCGTCTCGGCCGATGCCGTCGGTGCAAAACGGACGGGATCGTGCCTGGGCTGGGACATATGGCAGCGTGGTCATGAGAGAGGGGGCCGGAGTTGGTGGTGTGAACATAATTAAGGAAAGACGATGCCTCCTGCGACTACCTTGTCTCCGACCTAGTGTGTGTGATGCATGCAACCCGCACAAACACACAAGCCTCGAGGAGAAGGAAGAAGAGACCTATGACACTACATGTGGTGTCAGAAGTGGGGTATTGAAAATCTATCTGTAGTGTCGTCGGGATGAGGATGGCGAGACGGTCATCCTTCTGACAGCCCCAGGCCCGGGGTCCTGGTTACGAAGCCTGTGGGCTGCTGGGCAGCAGAGGAGTCGCCATGGATCAGCGGGACAGCTGCTATGCAAATTTGCAGGGAGAGCGGCTACGCATCCATGGAGGGAGAGCGCCTGAGCGTAAACGGTGAGAGCAGCTGGGCATTGACGGCGAGAGTGGCAACGTAAGACAGCGGGAGTGGCTGCGCGTCGACGACAAGAACGGCTATACGTCGACAGAGAGAGAGCTGCTGAGCATCGACGGCGACAATGGCTATGCCAGGTGGCGGGAGCGGCTGCGAGTCGACGGCAAGAGAGGCTGCACGTCGATGGAGAGAGAGCGACTGCACATCAATCGAGAGAGCGCGACTGCATGTCGACGGAGAGAGAGCAGGGGCTGCACGTCAATGGAGAGAGCGGGAGCTGCACGTCGACAGGGGAGAGCGGCTGAGATTTCCCATGGTCACGTGTCGACCAAGCAGCATGGCGGAGGACCGCCATGGGGAGAGGGGCGCGGGTCGGCACGAGGCGCGTACCCCAGGGGATGGCGTAGAGGAGAGTGGGGAAAACCATGCGGGAGCTTCCGTCGGAGTGGGAGAAAGGGGCTCCGGATGGGGGACCGCGCACATGGTGGGCACCATTTTGTCTCCAGAGGCCCTCCCATGGCCAGCAGGCACCATTTTGAGGCGAGCGCGGGAGCGCACAGAGGATGTGCGAAGAGCGACGAAGCTGCAAGAAGCTGCTTCTGATCTGGTGTAGGAGGCTTGCACAAGATTTCTCCAGAGGGAGCAGATGGAGGACGAGACTCCCTATGCCTTCCGGGCAGGGCTCCTGGCGCTGGGACAGGAGGCATACTCACTTTTGGGTGAAGGGGCGCTCAACCTTCGAGTGGCGGAAAGGCTGTGGGAGCTGGCAAGAAAGCTGAGGGTTGCCCTGCACTCCGCCGTCGGCAAAAAAAATAATCCTCAACGGTGACCTGGAAGATACAGGTCTTCGAGGAGAAGCTGCAGCGGGCAAGGTGGGAGGCTGCAACATGGAGCATGGACGGTATTATGGCAGTGGTGGGGGGCTGGGGAGGGGACAGCTTCCCCTGCCCTGGGGACCCATGCTCAAGTACTTTGTGTGGTCGATCTGGCCACATCGCTGCGGAGTGTCAGGGTGACAAGTGACCACCAGCGGAGTCACCCGCACCCTCCAGCCCACTGGCAAAGTCAACTCAAGCCCCACCGGACCCAGGTCCCTGAGGCCAGCGAGACCGCCAAGTGCGAGGTCTCGGGTACTGGATCCGAGCGGGTGCTGCCGAGTGGTGAGGCACCATGCCCTTTGAGCCGAGGACTCCGTCTCCATCATCTCTTGGCCCAATGGGTTCCAGAGGTGCAAGATCCCGCTGAGACGGGGGTGACCGGTGCCATGGACCGGATCACGCGAGCTATGTCCCGGTATGGGGGGACTCTCCCTTGCACTGGGAAGCGCTTTAAGTATATGTAGGGGTTTCGCGATGGCCGCAAAATCCAGTACGAATCTGAGGTAATATGAAACAAAGTCTATACATCTTCTAACATCTGTCACGGATATGGTGTGGTTCATTCCCTAACACACCACACTTTTTTATGGATCCGTTGTGCTGATTATGTCGCTTAAATATTTGACGAAGGGCCATGCAAGATGGCATTTATAAGGCTTGAGTTTAAAATGTGCTTCCCCGATTCGTGAGAAAACCAGCCTCAACCGGTGTAAGTGTTCTTGGAAGGATCATCCGAACACAATTACATCATACTCTTTGGTTCTATTCGGTAAAGTCACGTAGGTAAAAAAAATAAAACAACAAAAATCACGACGTTTCGGCCACAACACAAGCGGCCTTCATCAGGTGAAGGGACCAGCCTGTCTCGAAGACTGCGCTGGAGTGAAACAGAGCCAAGCTCAGACTACGACCTTTAAGCTGTGTGAGAGGGATTAAGGTGCCTCGACAAAGGAATTAGCATAAAAAATAGCATTTGATTGGCGGACTTAGCATGATGAAAGGTGTAGCACGTGGCAGTGCACCTTTAAGCTGTGTGAGAGGGATTAAGGTGACTTGACAAAGGAATTAGCGTAAAAATTAGCATTAACACCCACTAATTACACCCTTCTCTAACACTTTAAGTGTGAATATATGCACAATTTATTCGTAACATAGCCACACTGATTACACTTTTCAATCAACCCCCAAACCCCACATCCATGCTTTAAAATTACAACTACAAATGCTAGCTATTACATCATTTAATGTAGTGACATATTTTTGATCATTTTGATTCCTCTAAGCAATTTAATGTGATATTTTAATGTTTGCTTTAATTTTACACTCGTGGGCTATGTTTAAGTGAAATTTGCTTTGCACCAGATTGTGATTGATACTAAAATACCTTTATTAAATCTGGTTTGCACACTAATTTGGTTCGCCCAGAAATATTACATCATTATGTTCCCAATGATCTTCGTGAGCAATATAGATACAGGTTTTAGGAGAATGATGGGTTGGGAATTATTCAAGTCAGATTCAGACTACCTTTGAATATTAATATATGAAGCATTGTTCAATGACTCAGTTCATGTAAAAATCTCACCACTTGTTTCTTCAGCTGATCTCGCATATTTTATGATGTCCACAGTTATCCCATCTATTTAAAAAATCTGCTTTTCCATGGTACAAATAGAAGAGGCTACGCATTCATTTAATACAGTAAGCTTATTTCTGCATAAATGTACTTGTTCCTATTGTTTTCAAATACAAGGAATTTGAGTGAACAAGCTTAAATATTTCTACAGGTCTACTTAGAATTTGCATCACATTTTATAAGCTGAGCTGTGAGCGTTCAACTTTTCCATTACGTTTTAGTTTGGCATCGATAGTAAGTGGTGCAATGCAGTTATATTTTTTTTACAAAATCAAATACAGGTCGCCATCGTGTAATTGTTATTATCACTAGACAGTGACTTACCGAGTGCAAATATTCATGATTGCTTTAAACACTACTGACTGCACAACCTACAGTAGTCAACATACACATGAACACGTTTACACAGGTTCAATGTTTCAATTGCATAAGGCATCAAACTTTATTTTGGTTTAACACGTAGGCTTTCGAGACCATTATCATCCATAATACAGGTTTTTTGGGTTAGATCGCGTAAATAGAAATGTGTCGTTCAACACGCCACCACCCGACACAGCCAATTAGTAAGGTGTGTTACGTAAACGAATTGGCATGTTCTGATTACGTCACAAACCTTACTAATTGGCTATGCAGGGTGGTAGCGGGTTAAAAGACACATTTATATTTGTGATCTAATCCAAAAAATCTGTACTATGGAAGACTTTATTTTGTCTGGAAATACCCATGGGTGCTGTCTGTTATAGACTCAACAATAGTGCCCCAGTAGCATCAATGTTATCAGGAGAGGGCCATGGTTTGACAGTGCGAGGGCGGGGCTTGGTGCGGGTATGAGTTGTGTGTCTGTGTGTATATATAACATTTAGCATACAATACATATTTCTTAGTTATTTTGTAAACTTAGTCATTTTTGTACAGCTATATATTTTTTTCATTACAGTTTAAAATAAATATTAAATTATCTGCCTGCACATAAAAAATACGTTGCTCTCTGGGCTGCAGAACCTGGAAGAAATCAAGCTAAAATACTCACCAGAGAGGAAGGTGCCTGAAGATAGCTGTAAAAAATAGTGAGGGGCAATCCACACCACTAACCAAGAAGGCCAGGTGTTTGACCGAACCTCCCAGGAAAATCGTCAAATGTGCTGTGATCTGCTCGCCGCGTGGCCAGCCTGCCCTTGCCTGGATACCATGCATTGGAGATGTCTCATCGGGTTCTTCTCAACAACCAGGAGCCACTCCCTCGGAGCTGCTATCTCGACGCCATAGCTGGCACAGTCTCCTTGGAGACCAATTGGGAGGCTTGACTGTGGGACTGCTCCCATGAGAAACACAGTGGTGAGAGGCAGGGCCATGGCAGCTCACACCGACTTCCCAGAGGTGGTGCCAGACCCCCAGGATGTGAAGCCATGCGAAACAGAGGCCGAGACCTGGATAATCCCCCAACCTCCACACCGCCAAACCCCCCCTCTCCCAACCCATCGCCCCCATCTCCCCACCCCCTGTCTCCAAACCACCACACACGTCCATCTCACACCCCACATTCCATACCACACACCCTTACCCCACAAGCCCACCCCACAAAAAACGAGGGACTCTCCCGGACAAAGTGCGAGTTGCTCGTGAAAATTATGAGCACACGTAACACGTTGATGTTTTGCTGCTCCAAAAGCATACCGTGAGGTGATGGTCAATGCCGTACCAAACAGGGCAAGCCAACCAACGACCTAGGAAGCTACAGGCCGATATCACACCTGTGCACAATCAGCTCCTGGAATGCATCATCCTCAGAATTGGTCCCCTCGTTGAGTCAGTGATCCCTGAAGAACAAGTGATGATTCCGGCCTGAAAACAGCTGCTGTTAACAAATTTGGGCCCTTGCGACACATTGAGGCCGGATTCCAGAAGAAATCCAAGAACGACACGGCCTTTGTGATCTTGTCATCGGCCTATGACACAGTCTGGATTAAGGACTTGATGTTGAAGCTCGCAAGGACCATTCCCTGCCTCCAAACACTATACCTGATATGGACGATTCTGAGCCATAGGCGACTGCATGTCTATATGGTCAACAGATCCAACTCACCCCGGTTCCTCAACAATGGATTGCCATAGCTTCGGTACTCGCGCAACATGCTCTTCAATGTCTATACAAGTGACATACCACCAAACGGTTCATGTACATGTTGTATATGTGGCTGACGTTGCTCTGGCAGTCACTTTCAACAACATCGAATCCAGTCTAAACCAAAGCAAAAAAAACGATTATTAATTTACCAGTTACGGCCCATTGAACTATATATCAATTTTTCAGCAGTGACCTGGCCACAAATGATAGCTCAACAAAGTAGCTTATGTGAAAATATATGGCAGCATACACTAAAATGCATGTTTTTTAAATGCGGAGGGAAAAACTGGAGGACCCAGAGAAAAATCCATGCGACTACGGGGAGAACATGGAATCTTCTTCTCTTATATATAAAAGTCTCCGCGTGCACGCGCTTGCGGGGGGTTTGGCTCTCAAACAGTGGGGTTCAAGTCCGAAAAAAATTGCCGGGTGGCACGCCCCGAGCCCCCTGCTTGGTATCGCCTATTCCGTTTTCCCAGCCGTCAACTTTAAATTAGTTTAATTAGCGATTTAGTGCCATTCTTACTTTAATTTTTACTTACAGCAGGAGCTCGACCGTACCAACTGACGCCAATTGCGTGGGGGGGGGGCGGACCCTGCCAAGTGGGGAAGGGGACGAGCGGTGCACCGTGTGGCTAAAACACAGCAAGTTAGCAGGGTACAGGGCATAGGTGGTGCATCTGCCAGTCATCTCAGTCGACCTGTGCCATCTGGGTCTGCCCCGTGACCTCCTGCCAGCAGGTGTTCGACAATTCACGTGGCCTCAAGGTGCACATAGCCTGCCACAAGCCTTGTGGTGATGTCACTGCCACTTAGTGGCGAATTTCGGTTGTTGTTGTTCAGTCTATGTATGTATGTGTGAGTCGATATGCGCGAAGTCGAAGCACGAGAAGTTGACCGTGCACTTCATGCGGGAGAAGAAATTCCGTTAGTCAGTATGGTGCTCAGACGTGATCGTCAGTCGGATCAACGACGATACAACGCACCAACATCAAATGAAGTTGTGATGGTCTTCGTCAATGAGGATGGCGAGCCGCCGTTCCAGCGTGACATTCGCATCTACCCAAGGAATCCACAGAATCCCAATCAGCAGTTCATCAACCTCAATATCTTGAGTCCCAACATGGATCCCATGACATACGCGATTCTGAATCCGTACAGCGA